ATTTATCCTACATTCTTTCAGATAAAATATCTATGCATTTGGGACATAAGTGCTCTTCACTCTCTCCTCAGTAGTCTGCTGCAAGAGAGCAGAAACCCAATGAGAAAATCTACAAGCAAGCATTAGCATCTCCATAAGACTCAGAACAGAATATCATACTTTTGGGACCAACAAAAATGAAATATATTGAACAATTTAATAAATTTGACTATATTTTGGTAGGTTTTCTGATTTAAATTGCTGCAATCATAAAGAAAGTCTGTCTCAGAAAAACACTGATTTTAAGGACGTGGTGGAATCTCTCTGGTGAGCGAAAGAAGGATGAAGTGTCGGATCTTTACAATCTGAACAGTGCTGGAGTTGACAGCCTATTAATTTATGAGCTGCATTAATAAATTGCCTATCAATTTCCAAGCTATCAACAATGTTGCAATTAATATGATGATGTGATGGATGAATAGTAATATGCAAAAAATAATGCATACCATATAGCATATAGGTCATATATAAACAGATCCATAATACATATTTATATACTATAATGCTATGCAAGTGCTATGCCATCGTTAATAGAATGTAGAATACATCTCCTGCACTGCGGTTACACAAAGTACATGGATCCAGAGATTGGATCTTATATCTGCTGAAATGAGAACAACTGCAGCCTTTTTAATTGTAATTGGAAACCATAGTGGTATACACCAGCCTACACTGAGAGAGGAAGGAAAAAAGGTGCTAACTATATTGAGGATTAATGAGGAGCAGGGAGAAGCATAGCAGCTAAAAGGAAGCGTGTGAAATAAAGCTAGAATAAGAACTTGGTGAAAGATTTATCAGCTTGCCTATTCAGTTTACAGACATTGTTTTGATGGCAAAAGCAATTATTTAACCACTTTAAACCTGATTAAGTTTGAGGAGGATTTGATGCCGTGCTTGTCAGGATGGTTGGTTAATATATCCCTCTCGATCATACTTGTATTCAAGGCCAGTAAGACTTCCCCACCAAGGTCTCTACTGAGCTGGCTTTAAAGTCTGCCACAAGATAAAACATTTTATGTCAATAGAGCCTATGCATTCTTTTTTGGAACATATAAATATTTAAACAAACAGTGAGGCAAAGCATTTAAAGCACAAAAAAAACTTTATCAACACCAACCACATTTTAGTCATTTTAGTCCTGTTATCCTTTTTTTTTTTTTTTTTTTATTGCTGCAATGGTTATTATTTTAATTAAGAACCTGCTCTCAGATTTATTTAAGCAAAACAATCCCAACACTTTTAAAAGAGCAGCTAATTTGATAATTTGATCGTCCAGCTAGTCAGTCAGAAATTATGTTAGCTGTCTGAAAGAAAAAGTACCGGTGTCATTTTGAGATGTGTGTAAGTTCTGGAGAGTACTGATTTCCTGGAGAAACAGCACAATGCTGTGGCACACAACAGCTCCTTTCAATGGAATTATCAATATTCCAGGCCTGGACTAGCACTGGCTCAAATCCTCTGTACACCACTACAATGGATTTGAAATGAAGCAATAAAGATGTGGTTGAAGTATAGAATTTCAGCTTTAATTGAAGGGGTTTATTTATTTTTTTTACATAGGATTTTTTTTTTCACAGGCTCAAAAGTAATTGAACAGCTGACTGATAAGCAGTTTCATGGTCAGTTGTGGCCTGTTTCCTCATTATGTCATGACAAAGTTAGGAATTAAAAGGTATGGAGTTGAATTTGCATGTGGTAGCTGTTCATGTGAGCCAAAGAGGTTTTAATGCAGGTGAAGAAGGCCATCATTAGGCTGAAAAAACAAAACAGACCTATCAGAGACATAGCAGAAACTTTAAGAGTGGCCATATCAACAATTTGGTACATTCTTAAAAAGAAGGAATACACTGGTGAACTCGGTAACACCAAAGGCCTGGAAGACCACGGAAGACAACTAAGATGAATCTTTAAACTTTGACAAACACATCTCCTCTGTAATAGGTTCTAGCTTTTAGCAACTTCGTCTGCTGTCAAAAATCAAACCTTTTCTAAATCATAAAACCTTAGAGATGGCTGTTCACGCTTTTATTACCTCATGCTTGGACTACTGCAATTCACTATACTGCGTAAGTTCAAAGTCTCAAATTGCTCGCCTTCAACTAGTGCAAAATGCTGCTGCCAGATTCCTTCATAATTGCCGTAAAAGCACTCACATTACTCCAATTCTGAGAACCCTCCATTGGCTGCCTATCAAATTCAGAATCGATTTTAAAATCCTTTTATTTGTATATAAATCATTACACGATCAAGCCCACACTTACTTATCTGAATTGTTGGACCCATATACTCCTTTCAGAAGTTTAAGATCTCGCGATCAGAATCTTCTTTTAGTCCCTAGGAATAACCTGCCTTTAGAAATTAGATTAGCCCCTTCTTTTAGGTCTCTCCTAAAAACATATCTGTTTTCCTTGGCTTATAAATAATCTTCTATTACGGTATTTGCCTATTATTTTATCTTTAAAATGTATATACTCTGTCCCCCTTGTCTTAATAATATATTTTCTTAGTCATTTTATTATTGGAGTTAGACCCTGTCTTAATTGTGTTTAGTACTGATTTCTTCATTTTTTTGTTTTACTCTTTTTCTGAACCTCTGTACAGCAGTTTGGTCAGTCGTGTGGCTGTATTTTATATGTGCTATATAAATAAACTGAACTTGAACTTGAACTAAAGTTAATGATCACCGAATTGTTTTTTTTTTCACCAACTAAAGAATTCTCGAGGAAGTAGGGGTATCGTTCTCTAAGTCTACAATCAAGAGATGCCTTCATGAATATAAATACAGACGGTTTACCTCAAGATGCAAACCACTGGTAACACTCAAGTACAGAAAGGCCAGATTTACTAGAAAATATCTTTTTTTTAAAAAAAAGTAATGGAGAAGGAAAGGAAGGGCATAGTGTTACGGGATGGACATGTATGGCTGCAATGGAACTATGTCACTGGTGTTTATTGATGATGTGACTGCTGATAGAAGTAGCAGGATTAATTCTTCAGATTCAGTCAAATGCTGCAAAACTGATAGGACAGCATTTCACAGTACAGAAGGAAAACATACCATGAAAGCAACCCAAGAGCTTCTTAAGGCAAAGAATGGAATGTTCTTAAATGGCCAAGTCAGTCACCTGACCTCAACCCTGAGCATGCTTTTGGCGATTGCAGGCAACTGCAGTAAAAACCTGACAAAGCATCCCAAGGGAGGAAACTCAGCATTTGGATCTGCATACAAGTATTAAAAATAATCCATATATTTATGTTAGTTTATCCAATTACTTTTGAGCCTGTGAAAATGGAGGAACTACGCAAAAAAGTCTGTAATTCCTAAACGGTTAATGCAATATTTTTTGTTAAACCCCTTGAATTAAAGATGTAAGTCTACACTAAAATCACATCTTGATTGCTTCATTTAAAATCTGTTGTAGTGGTGTACAGAGGCAAAATTACAAAGATTGTGTCACTGTCCAAATACTTAAAGATCCAACTGTATGTTCATGAATGTAAAGCTTAGTTTATTTAGGCTAAAATAACATGACAATGTATTGCATTTAGAAAATAACATTAACATGCTTGTGTCAATAATAAATTGTAAAATTCATAACAAATTATTGTCACTCATGACAAAAATGTATTATATTCAAAAGTAGTTTTGACATGGAATACCATACATAATTAGCTTTCACTTCAGTTGCAGCCTGTATTCTTGACAGGTGAGTTTTCAGAGTTTTACTTTATAGAGATGCATTTGGGATTCTGCAAACATATATGTATTTATCAGGTCCCTGCCAATTTTCTCCCTTCCATCAATGATGCACACAATGCTACTTGAGTAATACCTCAATTAAGTAAATGAATAATATAAAAGCTAGGTCCCTGAGGTGTTCAAGTCAAGTCAAGAGGCTTTTATTGTCATTTCAACTATATATAGCTGACGCAGTAAACAGTGAAATGAGACAACGTTTCTCCAGAACCTTGGTGCTATATAAAACAACATAGTCACCTCACACAACACTGAGTTACAAAACACAGAGCTGAGGACTAAACTAAGTTGTCCTAGCCACATAACGTGCATCGTGTGCAACCTAGTGCAAACAGTGCATCTTATAAACAAAGCACATCAGGCATTCAGAAGGAAAAAGCAAGCAGATAATGCACATGCTTGTTTATAATGGCACATATTTTTTATGTGGAAGTTACCTCTTATTAGATCAAGTGCAGACATGCCTCTAGGGTCAGATAAATATTGTAAACAATAGTTTGTATTCCATGTCAAGAGAGAACATACTGGAATAATGAAACCATCTTCACTGGAGTTGAGAAGAGGCAGTGACTATATTTAGCAAATTGATATAAGGATATAAATAATTACATGATAATTATCTGGCAATCAAATGTAAGCGCCAAATTTCTCCAGTGAGGCTGAACAATTTTATCAGGGATATAAGGTCTCTAGTCAGGAGCACTGATATTGAAGCAAAGCTAATTTACAGAGAATGAAACATATATCCTGAAGCAAAGTGGATTTGTGAATCATAGTTTTAGTGATAGTTGTAGGAATATTGACAGGAAAATAAGTTTCATCTACACTCTCATATAAACAGTTTATCAGTATACAACCAGATAGATATAAACCATAGCATTCAGCCCTATTCTGCAGTGTGAGTGTTTTCGGTTGATCAAGTAGATCGGATCCACTCATCAGAGCATTTAGCACACCCTTATCCAGAATGACTTATATCCTCATGCTAGATCACTAGGTCAGAGACTAAGAATACCATTGAGCTAAAACCCTATATGGGGAGGTTAATGCAGAATGAAAAGAAAACACACAATACACTGGATATTTTTAAAAATATTTATGGCATATGGTAGACACTCTTATCCTAGAGCAACTTACATTTATCTCATTTTATACAACTGAGCAGTTAAGGGCCAAGGGGTGCTCAAGGGCCCAGTAGTGGCAGCTTGGTGGTGCTAGGGATTGAACTCATGACCTTCTGATCAGTAGTCCAACGTCTTAACCACTGAGCTACCACTTAATAGTGTTCAAGTACTTTGTAAAGAGGTAGGTATTTAGTCTTTGTTTGAAGACAGGCATTGAATCAGCTCGGACACCCAGGGGAAGTTCATTTCAGTGCCTGAGTGCCAGGACAGAGAAGCTTTACCAACCTGGCCCTTTTTTTTTTTTTTAAAACATCCACCATATTCATGTAGAACCATCTATCATGCTGAGTATATCAATTTGTCAATCCATCTTTAACTACTGCTCCATCCTCCCCAAATTACTCTTCCATCACAGTGGGTGTTGATCTAAATTCAAACCATTGTACCTTCTCAGGAGCTGTCCAGGGAAGAACAAGTGGAAATGTCAAGTGTGTCACCACAGACAACATGGTGAATTTCTAATTTTTGATTGTTTTTGGAAGGCTTCATTTAACATTGCTTAAAAGTTTTTTAAATAGTGATAAATGTGTAATAATTGACAGCTGTGAAGTCAATGTGGATAACGGGCCTTCAAGTGAGTAAAAAGAGAGGGAGGTAAATGCTGGTGAGGGATTGACTGTTTATAACTTTAACGTAAATGATTACAGGGACTTGGTTGTTTTACTGATGTTTCAAAAATAAATCTTTTGAAAAATGTCTTTTGTTAACAATAAAGGATGATAGAAATGTAACTGCCTGTAGAAACTGTTCTCTTGTTTTAGTACCTTTACATCTTTTTCAGCAAGTGGACATCTGAAATGCCCAATTATCTTGGCTTTTGTAATGCCTAGATTGTGAGACTGCCTTGACAGGCTTCCTACCTCCCACTGAACAACCTTTTAAAAAATCAATGCAGATACTGAATGTAGCTCTACTCAGAACCCTAACACCCACTCACACAGTAGAGAATAACAGTAAAAGCAAATAAATTAATCCCTGCCAAGCATAAACAAAATCTCCTGATGTCTACGGGCATCATTGCGATCAGATCCAATTTTTTGTGTATGTTCACACTATTTTGAAAAAAACTTTATTTTATTTATCAAATATTTTTTCCACAAAAGCAAAATTACTGAAGATGAAATGCAGATTTTTGAGAAACCTTCTACAGTTATGTATTCTGGTGTCAGTCAATCATTTCAAATTACCCTCAGGTAGGACTCTGAATGTCATAAACCACCTAAATCCTTCTGATGCAGTAGCTGGTCAGCCATGCAATGTGTCAGCAACACTGTGATGAATGCTTCTAGCCTTCATTAGTGCTAGGAAGAATATCACAGAAATTCATAAATATATACAGCGCTTACTTGCAAGTCTGATGCCTGCCCACTGAACGGACACTTGAAAAGTACCATTATCAACCTCTAGAATAGAGCTCTGACATCTATTTACCAAGTGCATATCTCAGTGCGGGTTTAACCGATTCCAAATGTAGAAAATGATAGTCCACAAAGACCAGATATGAAACTTGAACCCTCTGTCTGCAGCCTAAGAGCAATTGATCCATTATACATGGAAAAAAAGGATAACTGATTATATACACCAGCTGCAGCATCAACATCTATTGTATAAACAGGGTAAGCAGTGTGGAAATAATCTGTCACAGATATCACCAGTATGAGATCTGAGTGGCTGCACTCATTTAAATAGAAGCAATCACCTACTGCAGGTGGGATAGAAAGAGATGTGCTGCAGGAATGCTAATGAAAGTCAACATAGCTTTCATAAAACCCCATTTACATTTGGCACAGGTCATCTTGTGCACTCAAGTAACTCAAGTAACACTCATTTGTACAACTAAGGGTTGTAGCAACAGTAGGTGATTAAATGGCATTGATCAAAACATGAAAACTTTAACCGGCTTACTTTCGTAATTGTCTGTTTCATTTATATATCTTCAGTTCCTATCTGAAAGGAGTTTCTCATACTGGATTTCTTCTATGAAGGTAATCCAGGCAAATGTATTATTTGTCTGAATTCTGGTCTTAAAAGAAGAGGCAGTTTAACAGGTACAAAAGTTATTTAGAAAGTTATTTATTTTAAAAAGTAAATATAATATATAAAGTAAATTATGATCATGGATATAGCTTATATTACACCTGGGGTATATTAACAAAGATAAATGGAAAAAATCAGAGAATCTAAATTTAGAACTCCAGCAGCTGTGCTTCAGATGATAGAACTATCAACTGCCATGCAACTTTTTTCTGTTCTCCTCCTATTCCCTCTTTATGTTTCTTAATGTGAGTGGAGGAGAGAAGAAAACAGAAGCATTACAGGATAACTGGTTGTTTACATGACAATTCTATTCTTTTTTTTTTCTCCTCAGGAGGCATTGCCACCAGGATGCTGGTGAATGGAGCTAGACTATCTGCATCATTGCCACTATAGCACTATACACAGAACAAAACAGAAAATATCATATGCATGCCATGATTGTAGTTTGCAAGCAAGACTATCCCAAGTCTTTACTGTGATGGACAAAACATAAAATAACCTAAATCTAACTGTCGCTCCACTCAGAGTGCTTCAACAAAGAAGGTCTGATGAACTATTTTAAAGGAAAATTATATCTACTGTATATTGAAAAGAAAATTAAGCAGGTTTTAACCAGACTATGAAAGCTATGTTGCTACTTTAAAAAAGTAGATCTGCTGGCCAGATATAATCTTTTGTATAAGTAGACAAAAGATTCACAAAAAAAAAAAAAAGCCATCTGCCTTAAATCACACACTGATTTCAGACCCTGATGGTAAATGATTGACCCTTTCACCAAGAAAGCAAGGAATGTGGGAAAACTTTAGCTATGGCTAACTAACTGCAGCTTTATTCCTAATCTCTCAAATGTGCTGATGATACAAACTAGCTGAAAGCTAATAGCTAGTTGTCACAATACAAAATGCCTTTGAGAGGTATATGGTAAATAGGTAATGCCTTATTCTTGCTTTCACATCTGTTTAAAGTTTTGTTTATTAATTTGTTAGGAATTTATATTTATTCACTGAAACAGTCTGATGCTTAAAAAAACATCTTATGACTTTACAAATATATTAAATGTAAAAGTAGAAATGTAGGGAATAGAAAGTAGATATTTTTCTTCACTTCATCAAGTGTAGTTTAGGTAAAAGGCTCAAATAAAGCAAAAATACTTAAAAACCAGACTTTGTACTTCTCCCCAATTAACCTAGCATTCCTGGATGTGATTTATGCATATAACTAGCTATTGATGATTATGTGTTTTATAGAAGAACAGTGCTCTTGTTTTGAAATACTGTATTAGGCCATTTTGTCTTTTGTGAGGCCATTTTGTCTTTTGTGGCAAAGTAAACAAATACAATTCAATTAGTCACTCACAAGCAGACTATTTCAAGAACAATCATTTACAATAGTGATGGGGTAGATTATCCAATAATGCTGGACAAGAAGTCTGTTTGGTGAGTTTGTTCATTACTTTTTTATGCAAATACTAGTGCTTACCAATGTTTCTTTTATCAACAACTAGCAAAGCAGCATTCCTGTGCTAATTAATTGCTGCAGTGTTTCATGTAATGTTTTTGGAGAATGAAAGTGCTTTTGGAGTCCCAAGAGAACATCAGCTAAACCTGTGGCAGCACAGCCCCTCTTTCTCATGGGGATAACCCCTCTTTCTCTCTCCCTCTCCTCTCTCTTACAACACTACCCCCCCCCCTTGTTTTATGACGTATTCAAAATGAATGAGGGAATCAGACAGAGAAAATTCTTGACCTTTGTACATCCCTTTTAACTTTCTGAAATGTACAAGATGTATCACAGCCAATCTCTAAACTGTAGCTTTAAAAGCAAATGTAAGTTTCTTCCTGTAATTTCTTTTAATAGTCATGGAAGGTCAATGGATGGCACATTTAGCACTCTGGCTTTAATGAACTGGTTATGTATTTCCACTGTCTGTCAATTATACCTTACATTTGGTACTATCCTTGCAAAGAAAGCAATGAATTTAAATTACGCTTTCATAAACTTGCCAATTTAAGGCTCTGTTGTTTGCACTGACAGACATGTTTGCAGTAAGACAATAAGTGCATGACGAGGCTAATAGAAGGAAAAAGACTATATTAGACAGCAATCTTGATACACAAGCAAGAGTAACTGTGTATGGACTGTGTATGTTATTAAGAAACAACAATAAGAAGAAAAAAAAACAGACACACACACACACGCAATGATTGTATAAAATAAATATTATCCACAATGATTTTCCTCTAAAAAGGTCATTTTCTTAGGAAGTTTATAAATAATATTATACAACAGTTAGTTCCAGTCCACTACTTTGATTGGCTTATATTTAGTATAACCTCACTGGGATGTTTCACTGTTTCACTCTGCTTGTCTGAGTTTGCCATGTAAAATTCCAATTCTAGCAAAAGTCCCACTGAAACCATTACAGACATGGCAAATGATCCATTTTTCATTAATATGACTTCTGACTTACAATATGAAAGAAGAAGAAGTAGGGAAGTCAATTTTACTGGATGCACATTTAATGGAAATGTACAAATCATTGTGAGCTAGCTATCCAGCTAGCTGACAGGCTTTCAACTAGTGTGGCTTTTTCAGGATCTATTTCCATTTGCGGCACAAAAATAAACAAATTATTTGACCATATTGTGTCCAAAATGTCACTCAATATTTATTTCTTATTTATTTCTTTATTTATATTTATTCCGTAGCTATATGCCATGTCCCTATAACCTGAGATGAAGGAGATCTTTGCCTTTTTTGGTAATTCTCTCTCCCTGTCTGTATGACAAGTGCATGCTTACACACACAAACATACACAGACATGCACACACAAAGATAGGTAAGGTACACAAAAAATGGAAAAAGACTGGGAGAAACTCCAAATTTTGACTCCTCTGCCCTTTTTGGAGAGGACCTAGTTTTAAAAGAGAGAGAGAGAGAGAGCGCTATCACATATCAGAGAATATAGAGTTAATCTGTAATTGACTGCAGGTGTAACATGCTTTCCATATTATTTTTTACATCCTACTGAAATTGGATAGGCTCCAGGAATACCAGT